GTGTGACGGCGCGTTGGGGGTTCCCCGTCTCCTGCACCCCGAAATGGCACAAACAGACTGCACCAGCCAGTGGAATTGAGGGTGGTTTATTGCTCCTCCAGCACAGCGCAGCACAGATGTAATCTGGTTACAGGAACTGGGGCTAAGAGGCCTCAGTGCTCCCCCTTTGAGATAGGGGAGTCCCAGCCCCCTCCCCAGCTCCTTATACCCTGTCTTCCAGCGAGGAACTAACTAACCCTCTTCCAAGCCCTGCCCCCCAGTCAGGGCAGCATTCCACCTTCCTTTGTTCCTCTCCATGGGGGGTGTCTGGCCACTGGTTCAACAAGTTTGGCATTACCTCTGCCTAGTGAGGCTTTCCCTGCTGGGTCTTGCTCCAGACAGCAGGGGTCACCACAGCCCAGCAAGTGGGGGGGGGGGGGCAGGGGAGGAGGAGGGAGGCTAAGGAAGAGGACTTACCTTGCTCAAACTCAGAGAGCTTCTCTTTGGCTTCATCCCGCTCCTGGAGAAGAGCCTCATGCTGCAGGCAGGAGCAAGCCAAGAACGGGGGGGGGGGGCAGGGGAGGAGGAGGGAGGCTAAGGAAGAGGACTTACCTTGCTCAAACTCAGAGAGCTTCTCTTTGGCTTCATCCCGCTCCTGGAGAAGAGCCTCATGCTGCAGGCAGGAGCAAGCAAAGAACACCAGGTTAGCATGGCCCCTTGTGTCCCGCAGGGTCCCCCAGCACGTTGCCCACCCCTCCACAGCAGCCCCCTCTGGACTGAGGCCTGGCACCCGTCTTGGACACCCTGCTGCGGTTGGGGACAGGGAGCAAAGGAGCCCGGATCCAGCTATAATGGCAGGGGATTCATCTGCGGAAGCAAACAAGGTTGCCCGAGTCGGGGGTGAACGTAAGGACATCAGAGCGGCCAGGCTGGCTCAGCCCAAAGGCCCATCTAGCCCAGCGTCCTGCCGGCCCACAGTGGCCAGTGCCAGGCGCCAATGCCTGCTGTGCCGCTGTAGGGCTATTTCCACCGTCCAGGAGTGATCAGGGCCTTAGGTTTGTGTTTCATCCCGTGTCCCCTGGCCCAGGAGCCCCTTGAACCAGGCTTCGTACCGACACCCAGCCGTGTGACAGCAGAGGCCTCCCTCCATGCAATGCACAGATGGGGTGGGAGTGCGGGGAGGAGGATGTGTGAACTCTGCCCAACAGAGGGGGGAGGGGAGAATCAGAACGAAACCGAAAACGGTACCATCACCGCTTCTTCCTCCTCCGAGGCCTCGCTCTCCGACTCCAGAATGGCTGCGGGAACAGAAAGCGCAGCGGGACGTCAGCGCCCTCGGCGAGGCACACGGGACGGTCGCAGGATCGGACCCCTCGAGTCGTGGGGCCCCGTGTCCTACCTGCCTGCAGGGCCCTCAGCCAAAGGGGCCCCCTGTGCTTTCCCGCCCCAGGAGGGGCCTGTGACGGCGCGTTGGGGTTCCCCGTCTCCTGCACCCCGAAATGGCACAAACAGACTGTACCAGCCAGTGGAATTGAGGGTGGTTTACTGCTCCTCCAGCACAGCGCAGCACAGATGGAATCTGGTCACAGGAACTGGGCTAGGATGCCTCAGGCCCCCTTGAGATGGGGGAGACTGGGCCCCTAAACTCCAGCCCCTTCTCCTAGGCTCTCCTCCATGCCCTCCGACAGCCAGCAACCAACTCACTCACTTCCAGCCCTGCCCCCCAGCCAAGGCAGCATTCCACCTTCCTTTGTTCCTCTCCATGGGGGGTGTCTGGCCACTGGTTTGCATAGTGACTCATCCTGTTTTGCTGGGTCGTGGTACCCACGGCAGCCAGTGGGGGTTCCCCCAGAGCCAGCAGCATAGAAACCAGCCAGGTACCCCCACTACGTCACAGGGGCCCCACACCCTCACATGCCACCGACCCCCAGGAGAGCCGGGGGACCAGGTGACTTTTGGGGCCGTGTCTGGGATGAAGTCACTTGGTGCCACAAAGCAGCCAGGGCTGGGGGCTGGGCACATGCCCCAGCCAGGACAGCCCCTTGCAACGACAGCGCAAGTCTCGTGAGAATGAGTCTTCTTCAAGCCCCAGCTCCTGGAGTCATGGGAGGATGTGAGACTCCACTGCCTGTTGTTGCTCAAAAAGGTCTCTTGATCTTCAAGATTGTGCCGTGGAGTGCAGGGAGGGTCTAGGCTGGGGGTGGGCAATAACACAGCGGTGGGTCCGCAAGGTTAGCTCCTGGTGAGTCCCTTCTGCTATATTTACCTGCGTGGCCGCAGGTTGCGGCGATCTCAGCTCCCATTGGCTCTGTCTCGCCATTCCTGGCCAATGGGAGCTGCGGGAAATGGGCGCGGACCAGGACATCCCTTCACACTGCTCCCATTGGCCAGGATCTGCGATCTGCAGCCAATGGGAGCTGCAGTTGCCGGTACCCGCCGGCGCCCCGGGGGATATA